TGTAAAAATTGTATCTTAATTTCAAACTATGTTTCATCAACCAATTGCCTGGATTTAATAAATAATAAGCGAAATATAGCAGACAATATAATCAGGACACGGAGGCGCCCGAACTGGAGCGCGTCTCATAAGTGAACCGAACCTCAACTTGCCTCACATACCTGAGAACGTATAGTTCAGGCTTGAAATGTCTACTTAAAAAAAAAAAAAAAACTATTTAAATTGATAATAAATAGGCTACTCTCTGCTTATGTAGGCTAATCCGTATGAAGTGTGCATTTCTCTCTATAAGCGCGTTCACTATGCGAAGATGGCGTCAACATCGCCAACTGTATCTTTGCAGTTTATTAATAAACAATTAAAATGTATCATGCTGCATAAACATTACTTTTGCAGGTTCTTTGTGGCAAGCTTTATGCATGCGCTTGATATGCGGAATATAGGCAATATAGCCTATTATGATGACGCTCATTATGGTTTAGTATTTTCTCCCATATATATTTAATTAAATTATATAGATATGCGATTAGACTAATGGCTTAAATGAACTACTACTAGTCGACTAGAAAAAACTTTAGTCGTGCACGGGCAGCCCAACTTATTTACCATATTTTCTAACCAGCATGTTACTGCGGGCGTTCTGAGCGAGTGGCGCTGTGGACTGAGCGAGCGAAGCATACTCTTCAGAAAAGATGGCACAAGTCATATTTTCAGCTAGACATCCAAAATTATGCTCATTCAATGCATTATTAAGGCAATAAATACATCTTGTGATCATAGTGATTTAATGTCCGTCTTGTTAGTCCATGCATTGTTGGCATCATCTGTAATCTTAGCAAATGAAGCTGGGTGCACAATGGATCTGGTAAAACCACAGAAACTCATTCATCTCTATGGCTAGTAAATAAGCCAAATGACATGGTAAAAATGAGCGTAGGTGCAGGAAGATATAGAGCATTAGTCATACTTTCTCAGTGGTTTACCCACTGCATGAATAAGGAAATGTTTGGCAGGTGTGAGGAATTGCTGTTAGCCCATCAGACTATGAATTCAGTTTTATTTCCAGTGACCTTAGTACTTCTGACATTTATTACCAGGAGCTTTGTGTACACAAGGTAGGAGGAAGCACGTGTAGAGTGGGAATGCCGTGACAAGCTGTTGCCGTTTGCAGATTTAATATACTTAGAAATTACCTCAATTTGGATTTAATGAGCCAGTCATTTGAAGACCTAAGCTTTGAAAGTCTTTAGAGGACACTCAAATGATAACATCAAATATTTTGAATATTGAGTAGTGAACTAAAACTTAACTAAAATAATGCATTCGGTCTCATTATGGAACAAAGTTTGTAGCAGAGCTCTTTGAAGTTGTTTTTCAACTATACTAAATTTATGCTGGATGGCATCTCTGAGCTTCTTATTCATTTGAGATGATGAAAAGACAGGGAGCCCCATTTGAAGCCAGCTAAAACGTGTCTCCTTTGCTAACTTTGAGTTTGCAAATGAGTTTAAGGCTGTGTTCCAATTTATGAATTTATAAGCCAGCTTCTGATTGGCTGTTTGGGAGGAACGTTATTGATCGTGTCTGGAGGCTTGGCGTTAGAACCCAGGGTCACCCCATCGCCGATCGAGTTGGTTATCTAATCACACAGCGGTGCTCTGACGATGTCTGTCCTAAACCCAACTTGCACAGCCGGCACAAAACGCAAACAGGCTATCGACCAGCTAGCGCTGGATGGGGTGGTATTGACTGACCCCCACGATACTGTGACTGGGTCTGCTTGTTCCTTCATGCTTGCATAGCTCCAGTTCAACAGCAGTGATAGGCACAGACCCTGTCCCATTGGCATTCTCCATGTCAATTTTCACTGTATGTCGCAGCACTGCTCTAGCAATTACGCCCTAGGTTTATCCTCAAATGACATGGATGATAATAGAAGCTTTCCTCGGTTGTTTCCAGATATGCACACACATATTAGTATAATGCTCTCATCACTTTGTTTCCAAAGAAACCCGGCCTTTAAATAATTTGGTGCATATGGTCACAGTTGGTGGCTCTGTCTCCAGCAGATAAGCTTTGCATTATCTGCTTCTGTTGTAGGTTAGGTTCAGGGAGTTCACGCCACAACAATTGATTGATTTGGTGAATTAACTAATATAAATTAGTTTAGTCTCTTTCAGTGCTTTTGGATTTTTAGTCGAGTCGTTCCCTGATTAGATCTCACATCCGTAAATTATCTGAATGGATGGCCTTAATTTATAATCTGTCCCAAACTGTTTTTCCTATTGATATGTTGGGAAGTGTCTGGCTCCCTAATGTTCCATGTCAAGGCTGCCGTCTGTCCAAAGTGTGTCATTGAGTCTGTTGTGTCTTTCGGATAGATAAACCTTAATGTTTCCTGATTTAAAAAAAAGAAAAAAAGATTTAAAGGGATAGTTCACTTTGAAATTAATTTTTGATATGTTTTAGCTTACCTCAAGGGCATCCAAGATGTAGGTGTCTTTGTTTCCACAGTATTTTCAATTTTTATATTTTTAGGTCAAACCGTTCTTGTCTGTCAGTCATATAATGCAGGTCTATGGTCTCCACCTCAAAGAGCATGCACAGAGAAGTCCAAATTAAACATGATTTAATGACTCGTAAATGTAAGTACACATTGATGGCCTAAGACATGAAACGAGCAGTTTGTGTGAGAAAACGAACAGTATTTATATCGTTTTTACCTCTTGTAAACACAGCCACGTCCAAGTGATCTGAGGGCGCGGGCGCTTTGGTCTGTGTGTTACAAGAGGTAAAAACGATATAAATACTGTTCGTTTTCTCACACAAACCGCTCGTTTCGTGTCTTAGGCCATCAATGTGTACTTACATTTACGAGTCATTAAATCATGTTTAATTTGGACTTCTCTGTGCATGCTCTTTGAGGTGGTGACCATAGACCTGCATTATATGACTGACAGACAAGAACGGTTTGACCTAAAAATATCAAAATCGAAAATACTGTGGACACAAAGACACCTACATCTTGGATGCCCTTGAGGTAAGCTAAAACATATCAAATTAATTTCAAAGTGAACTATCCCTTTAACAGACACAAGCTGATACAGCCCCATATAGCATGTGATATGCCTGGTTTAGAATTATGTTACAATGAAAATGAACATGTCATAGTCATTTAATTAAGCTGATGTGATTCAGAAATAACCAAGAGCAGTGAAAACCCATATGATTGGTGTGTGTGTGTATATATATATATATATATATCCGTGTATGTATTTTTACTATAGAGAATGAGATTTCTATTTGGTTCTGTGGCAAAAAATCTTTTTAAAAATGCTTGTGCCTCAGATATGTACTCGTTCTATTTATGTTGGTGTCATATATTTAAACAAAGAAAACTTTGGGCTTTTTCAAGAAAACTTTCAATTTAAGGACATATAAATGTCATGTTGTGTAACCATCAAGTAGAAAGTAACATTCTTTCTTTAATTATATATTTTTTTAAAAAAAATTTTTTTTTTTTTTTTACAAATATCATGAATAATTTAATAATAAATAATATAATGTGGACTCAAGACACATGGCATTTTACAGCCTGAACTATAACTGGCCAGTTTGGCTTTCCCGTAGATCTTCTACTCTAAACATGTTCGAATCAGCCATTAAAGGGAACTCATGGGAGTGGTTAACATGGGACATCTTGATGCCTCATAATGGGATTTTTATGGGCCTCTGCACTTACTAGAGTAGAGTAATGGCCAGCTGATATGATCAATACCCTTGTCCATGTTCCATACATGGTCCTTAGTTTTGTTTGTTCCGTGTGCTTTTAAACTTCCTGCATTAGTCACACAGCTCTCGAGAGTAGCAGATCGATTGAGTGGTAAAGTAAAAAGGGGTAGTACATCATGTAGCTAAACAATTAATCAGATAAATAATTTAGATTATGATTACAGCTGATATGATTAGTAGTGTTGATTTATGTCTACCTCTGTTGCTTCAGAGATTTATATTCTGTGCTTTTTATCACAAAACTACCATTTACTTGTGTGTATATAAAAAAAAAATATGTGCAGTGTACTTACTGTGTTCAAGTTGTATTGCAAAACATGCTGCTGTTGAGATGGGATACGGGTAAGATTATAGGGACATGTTTAGTTTTAAGGTTGGGGGAAGGGTCAAGACTCAACCATATACTTATAGATTGAATTATAGCTGTAATTACATGCAGTTATTTTTTAAATGTTGGTACACGCTTGCTTTTTGCAGTATTTTTACAAAAAAACTTTGAATCATTACTAGAATTCAAGAGGCTATTTTGGATTCACAAACTATTAACATAATGATCATTGAGGAATAAACAGTGTAAATACAAGATACATCACAGTGTAAACTGCTTTGTTAATTATATTAAAGATTATATTGAAGACCAATAATGTGTCTGAACTAAGGGCTGGAATACACTAAATGATTTGCAGTCTGGAGGAGTCTATTCTATTGATAAAGTCAGAGCCAGTCTGCAGAGTTTAGGCAATTGACCAATTTAAAAAAACAAATTGTGAATGGCGATGGGTTTAAGATTGAGGCAATTTTAGAACAGGTTTTCATCTGAAATGTGACCCATAGCAACAAGGCGCTTTTATTTGCGTGAGTTTGTTGTGTTCGGAATGTCTTGAAAGTCTGGCACTATGTGATCCTCAGTCATTTAGTGTATGATGCCCTCTATAAAGGCCCCAATTTACTCACAACAAAGTTATTTTTCATTCCTTGCTTTAGGGGTAAAACTAGAGGTTTGAAATACCTCAGTAGCGAACATCCCATCGGTGCTGAGATTAGATGAATATTTTCGTCATGCAGTTGTACAACAAAAAATATGTATTTTAATTTAAATTATATTAAACATAATTTACAAAATCAAGGACAATAAGCAACAATTACGATTTTTGTCATAGTCACGATGTGGACTAATGCCATTTGGGTGTTTTTTTTTGTTTCTGCAGAAGAATGACCGGACACTCTTTCCACATGGGCTACAGTATGGCAATACTCAATGGAATAGTGGCTACTCTCACTTTTATATGGTATCTCACCTGATGCATCTCAACTACTGCTCAACTGCGGAGACTTCAACTGTCATTTAACTTGCAATTATCAGGAGGCAATTCCAAGTTTAATGGCTGGAGAAACTGTCAAATAATGTTACTAATATAATATAACTACAGCTAAAAACAAATAAACTAAATGCGTGTTTAAAAATGTATTACATTTAAATTTCTCAGTCGTTTAGACACTGAATAAAACAATAAGTAAAGTACATAGACTGTAAAAAAAAAAAAAAAAATGGACGCACTTTTTTTTGAGCTTCAATCTGTTGGTTGCAATCCACTGCCATTATCAAGCTTGGAAGAGCCAGGACATTTATTAATATAACTCTGATTGTATTCGTCTGAAAGAAGAAAGTCATTTACACCTAGGCTTGAGGGTGAGTAAATCATGGGGTAAATTTCATTTTAAAGTGAACTACTCCCTTTAATCGCAAGCACAGCTGTCAATCATGACGTTACACTCCTTTTTAATACTATCAAAAAACCTAACTTAATAGAAAAACAAACACTTGACATACATCAGCGTGATAAGAACTACCTAAAATGACAGAAACCATCTTTGGAAAAAATGTATTTGAAGTGTAATTGGATTTTTTTTTTTAGTTTGGCTCATGTCCCATTCGATTACATAGGAGAGGGCAGGGTTTTTGACCTATACTGCAGCCAGCGATTAGCGGGTAAATGTTTTTGGCCTCACCTTTTCAGGATGTGTGAGGCACACTTGGTGTCCAATTTGTTTATTTTTTTAGGTTTTCTCATATTTTCATATGTTAATTTGACATATTCAATAAATGCATAATGAATTTTTCTTAATGGACTACATTTCAGTAAAATAACATTAGGGATGTCAGGGTCTCTTTGTTACCCAGATATTTTGTCTGATAAAAGGCTTTTATCACAGAATCCTGTTGCAGCAGCTTTTTACCATTATAATAATAGCAGTGCATTAAATCTTTTTGCCCTTTTGATGTCATTCATTCAGTGGGACAACACAACATACAGTAGATGCCGTTTAAGTCTTTCTAAATAAATCGGATGTGCATTTTATGACCTCCTCTTAGTAAAGACTAAAGTCCCTTTGCTGTCATGCTTTATTCAAGCTGGAAGTTGCTGCTCTATTGAGCGTTTTAATGGGGGAAATCATTAATACAATAGCTGTTTTGGGGTTGATGGAGAGTGACCGTGTTGAGGCTTTCGTTGAGAGCCTGGGAGAAGGTCAGAGAGTGTAGAAGTGTGGATTTAATTTATGACTTTAATTATTTGATGCAGACTCTGCCAGGCCATGATTACTTTTTTCTTCTTCATTGGATTAGCAGGCCCTGTAGCGACTCTTTTCAGCTAGCTCTAATGCACTGATCTGTCTCTTGTATATATGGAGTATTAATATACTGCCGCCTCTCTGAGTGTATGTGGCTCCGATAATTTGTTTTCATTTACAGGACATTTCCATCTCCATTTTAGTACATTTATATAGACATTAAAGGGATAGTTCACCCAAAAATGAAGATTCTGTCATTAATTACTCACCCTCATGTGGTTCCAAACCCATTAGACTTTCGTTCAACTTTGGAACACAAATGAAGATATTTTTGATGAAATCTGAGAGCTTTATGTCCCTCCATTGACAGCTACGCAACTGACACTTTGACGCTTCAAAAAGTTCAGAGTACAAAATTTAGTCCAAATTTTCTGAAGAGACTTGATCGCTTTATATGATGAAAAGATTTAATTTACGTAGGCTTTTATGTACATATACACACTGATCAGCGAACATAAACAGAAGCTCAACTGACCCTGCTTGACGCGCGAGAACAAATCTCTTGCAGAAGCTCAAACGTGCTGCGTAACACACGAGAATGAACCTCATTGGTTTTCACACGTGAAGCGAACATGCTTGAATTTCAGTTTACCACAACTGATGTGTGAGTTGATGAATGTTTATATAAATATAAGAGTCTAAATTTAATCTGTTCATCATATAATTGTTCATCATCATCTCTTCAGAAAATTGTGGACTAAACCGCTCAATTCATATAGATTTGTTTTATGATCTCTTTATGAACTTTTTGAAGCGTCAAAAGCCCCTTTCACACAGAGATTCCGGAAAATACACGGATAAAGCGACCCGGGATTTGACCCGGGTTCGTTTGATTTTGGTTCATTCACACTGCCAGTGATTTTCCGGAATCAGAGAGTGCGTTCACACACAACCCGTAAAAATCCCTTTAAGACACGTGACATCGATGTGACATGTAATGTCTCAGTAGCGTGTATAGTTTGCTTATGAGCTGCGATTTCTCTCTGGAGAAACCACGCTTGTGCATTTTTTTTCTCTGATTCGATCATAAACTAGCGCATTACGTACCGTTTCACTAGCCTGCTTTCACTTCACTTCAGCGTCATCATTACGACACGGCATTGGTTACGGCTTTTGTTCACACAGCGCGCGTTCCGGGACTGATCCCGGCAATGTTACTAGGTCCCCAACCCGGCATCAATCCCGGGTCGTGTTTGCGTTCACAAAGAAGGCGTTCTGGCAATTTCCCGGGATCAACGCGCTGTGTGAAAGGGGCTAAAGTGTATTGCAAAGCTCTCAGATTTCATCAAAAAGATCTTCATTCGTGTTCAAGAGATGAACAAAAGCCTTACGGGTTTGGAACGACATAAGGGTGAGTAATTAATGACAGAATTTTCATTTTTGGTTAAACTATCCCTTTAATTCTTGTTTGTTGTTTAAATTCATTTCCAGAAGTAGTTTATCCACTTCAAAACCTGTTGCATCTACATTAGTCGGGTATTTTAAGGTAAAAGAGAGATTTTTGTGTGCATGACCACACTCTCTCCGTGTGTTTGTGGTTTTTTTAGCCTTACAAAACATGTTCTTGCATAACTTTGTAACAATGTGTCTCTTTTAATGCTGTTTCTGTTGAGGTGAAGGTCTGTCAGAAGTAAACCATCCCAATCACCTTCAGCCGTGCAGTGCAACTGTCACAGACAATGCACAATATTCCAGCCTGAAACCACGTTACTTGGAGGTTGACCGGTTTGCTTGCTTGCTTGTCTTCCATTTAAATAATCAGGGATGTAAAAACAACACTGGAATATTCATTGCTTAGATGTGGGATTTTGTCAAATAACGCTAGCAGAATTGTAAGAATTTATTTATGCAAAAAGCAATAAATTTGCAGTTTAAATAATAAATTGTTCTTTTTCTGATTTGTTTTTCACTTTTCATTCTAGCACTAGTTATGTGTGCTTGCCTATATCCTTTCTCGTAAAAAAGGCCTCCAAATAAAATCATAATGTGCTGCAATTCACAAAGACATGAACCTAATAGAAACGTCTGTTTTGCATTTGCGGGTGAGCGCTTCTAAAGATCGCAGTTAAGGCCTAAGGGCGCAGACGTGAATGTGAGTGACAGTCGATATGAAAGCATTTACTTTGACGCCTTTTTACTTGTCACCTCAAGGCTAGTTTTCATGAAAGGGCAGCAAGACATGTAATCATTCTACGGAATAAAAAATTACACCCACGGCTCGCTATGTGCGTCTAACAAAATTGACTCCTGATCTGTCTGATGAGCGCTTCAGACAAAAACAACAAAAAACAACAAAAAAAACCTGCAAATAGACAATACAAACTAATAACAGTGCTGCAATTCAGAAGGGTGTAATGAAGTTTCAGCCCTGGGTTAAACTCATGGAATTGCAAGCATGCCATCACAAACATATCGGTGGTTGATGATTATTATTGATATGCTTATGTAAAATGGTGAATTATCTGATGTTCGCATGCAAGACTGTTGACAAATCTTTGAATTTGTATACAGGCCACTGGGAAATATTCAGTGACTTCAATTCTATTCAGGGTTGTTATCATTTTATTATTAATATCATCGTTTTTAGAAATGTTTCCTTGGCAATAAACTGAAATAAGTTTAAGTTGAAGCACTAAAATTATTAACTGAAATAAAAACTAAAACTGAAATAAAAATAACTTAAACCTAAAGGGTAATATTTGAAAAAAGGATAATAATAAACTGACAAAAGCACATAACGAAATTGCTTAAATTTAAAATATTTAGTTTATATAATTAAAACTTTGATAACACTGCTTTTATATAATGTCCCCTCAATAAACGTGTAATTAAAGTATAAAATAGTAATAATAACACTTTCTCTATTTGTAAAAAGGACAGGAAAAGATGAGTGAATAAGAAAAATAGCTTTGGCTAAAAAAGTAAAGATCTGAGAGGAGAAAATATACTGTTTTGCTGGTAGTATTTGAAATTATGCAACGTCGACAACAACACAGCATGAGCTGAAAATTTTAATTTCAGTCAATTTGGCTTGCTTTGTATAAGGTGACAAGTCCATGGAACGAATTAAGCCAGCAGATGCTCTTCCAAGTTTTAGACTGCGAATCCATCAAGGCAGTTAATGGGCCAGCTCAGTGTTTGGCCTTTTCCCCCTCGCTTAGTGTTTTCCATCTGTCTTTCTTTACCCACTGATCTGGTGATGGCATTAGACCTGACTTCTTTAATGCAATCATCTCAGTCTTTGCACCATGAACTCCGCCATCACAAAACCAAACCAAACAAAGAGAGAGAGCTCACGTTTTTTTCAATCAACAATAGCCTAGAATCTGCCTCGTTTTGGCTTTGTGTTGGATATGGAGTTGGACAAGCTGAATGAAAACAGAGATTGTGTGTGTTGCTTGGATACTGGCTAGAATGAGATAAAAAATATCTGATGTTAGCCTTGGTCTGATTCCACATGAAGAGCTCCGTGGAACCAAATTTTTGAATCAGAGCAGTAAGTTTAGACTCCACATAATATTTCCTCTTTCAGGCTGTCTATTGATTGTTTTAGTTTACAAGGAGTCTAATACTCTCTCTCTCTCTCTCTCTATATATATATATATATATATATATATGCGAATGTTATATATAATGTTGCTTAAGCTGAAGGACTAAAATTATTCACTGGAAATAAATAAAATGTAAAATAATGATAAAAATAAACCAAAATACAAAGCACATAACTAAATTTAGCATAAAAAATAAAATGGATTCAAAATGTTAAAAATCTAATATAATTAAAATAACACATTGAATACAGTTTTCAACCATTTTGTTAATGTTTTTATAGTAACATACACTTTTGAAATTAAAATTCACAAACACTCAGTGTAGCCCAATTCCTGCAGAACTGGCAGAACCCCCCCCCCCCCACACACACACACACACCCCACCCACCGGACATACAAATTCAGCAGAGAATTCAGCCCACCAAGGGAGAGAAACACATAGGACTATTTTAGGGCTATTTTTAATTGGCCATTATAGCAGCTCAGCAACCCTGCAAACACAGGCAAGGAGAGTTTTGTCAACTCTTAAGAGTTTAGTTCATATGATATGCGAGTTCATGTAAAAACTCATAAAGTGAGTGCTGGCCCCATTCATGACACTTTTTGCTTTCTGGTGTTTATCATTTGCACAGCTGTTTGACGCACTGATGTGTGTAGAGGAGTGAAAATATGCCTACGGTATACAAACACTGCTCTGGACAGAGAAGGTTCAGGTAAAAGGGTGATCTGTACTGGTTAACAGATGTGTGCCGTGTAAGTAAACTGATTGTCATCTTAGTTTAAGTTAAGTAAATTATGTAGTTGTGCTGCAAGTTGCTTAAGAGTTCAGACGCATTCTTTAGGTTGTTTTCTAATATTAATAAAATATTTGAAAGAAAGGTATGGTCTTGTTAGCTTGCAATATTACTGAGTCTGACTCTGTATCTACACTATAGGGACCAAAAGTCAGACTGCATTACATATCTGGGTTTTTTTCTTTAATAGTTTTAGTTTTTGGATATAGTTTTAGGATATAGAAAACTTTTAAAGAACCTCGGTGTAAAATTAATATGCATATTTAAGATTAATTTATTAATTAGATTGTTTCTCTTATTTTAAATTATTTTATTTTACTGATAATATAACTGTTGAGAATTTATTTTATATATGTATGTATATATTATTTTTATTTTTATTTTTTAAAGTAAGAACGAAATTGGAAGCATTTACATTAGTGATCTCAGACCTTTGGACCACATATTATTCCATGGTGGATGGACCGCTATTGATCTAATTTTGTTGATTTGTGCAAGATTATTTGCCAAAGGCTATAAACATAACTGTATTAGTCCATATTCCCCTTTCCATCTGATGACACACACTAAGTGTTATTTGCTTCTGCAGAAAATTACAACAATGTAATAATGATTCAGTTGTTTTGTACTTGTCTTTTATATAATTATTATTAGAAAAAAAAATTCTGAGGTCACAGTGACACATTACATTTATCAGTTTCAAATTTATGTCACTGTAATAAAGTTCCACAAGTTTTCTTTTTTAATTCAGCATATTACAGTATTCACCCATAAACACAATGTAAATCAGTTTTGCTGGCCAGTAAATTAATTGGAGAACATACTGTAGTAGAACAAATACATCTGTCACTGAATGCTGCACAAAATAGACGTTAATATCCAGCATTAAGAAGTGCTTTTGTTACACAAAATTATTATTATTTGTTATCAAACTTATTACTCAAAATACATGCATTGTTTACCCACATAAATTAGCAGTCTGAAAACAGCGGTTTGTTCTACAAGCATTAATAATCACATGAACATTACTCATGGTCCATAAAGTGGGCCAAATAGTCCATGTTAGAGAGATATTTTACACTTTTATATTAATTTCAGTCACCAGGTCTCACGGCACACTTTCCCCTTTACTTTCCTCACAAACTGCACTTTTCCCAGTGAAAAAAAGCCAATACTGAATCATAAATGCAATGTGCCAGTTTCTTCTACCGTCAGGGAAGGACCTCTCTTCGTTTCAGGAGGACAACACGGATAGTTTCGCACATTACCAAAGCTTGCGTCCCATCTGACCATCAAACTTTTACGCACTAGTACGATCCAACGATGACCGCTTCGACATCCTTTGACGGTCTTCTGTCCGTGACCAGAAAGTTGATCATGCCCTCGGACTTAATAAGCAGGTTACAGCCTAAAAAGAAGATGCCGAAGACCACGGTGAGCGCGAGCACGCACATCACCGCGATCTGCACCGCGCGCATGATGAACACACTGCGCTCGTCCAGCGTCGTGGACACAAACCCGCTGTCCGTTACCACTGAAGACACGTTACAGCACGACAGAAAGCTCTCGCTGCTTCTGTTGGAAAACAAAGCACTCTCCGTGTCGTTGAAAACTGTTGAATTCATTCTGAACTATACTCTCCGGTCTCCCCTGGAAGAGAGGAGCAGGTGCGTACAAAAACACCGGCTGAAGTTTCCTTCAGTTCTGTAAAGTCACAAGAGCAAACAAGATCTTGACAGAATTTGTGGGCCGACATGCAGTAGAGAGGATGGTTGTTCTCGGACCTGTTGTGGAGGTAATTAGGGGCTCTGGTGTACAGAGGACAGGGGTATGTCTCCTGAGAAGTTCAGTGTTTACAGGGTTTTTCGTTCGTATTGCGCCCCCTTTGACACAATCTGAAAACGATGCAGAGGTCGGTATGAACTAGTTGAAAAGTTAACTGTGACCAACCACATTTAAAATCACGTTAACTATTATCTTTCTGTATGCTTCTAGTTGGTGATATATTTTTTTTAATTGTCAGTAACTGTTCATATTCATTCCAATAGTGAAGAATGTGAATTGATTTAATCTTACTAGTAGGCTAGTTATTTCTTTGCTACTAGTCACTTTATCAGTAGTGACACATAACTATTATATTGTTACTGGGAACAAAATGCAAATTATGCCATTAAATTGTATGTGATTCAAACATCACTTTGGGTTATGTAATCCAAGTGTAACTGGAAGCTAGTAATTATATAATACTTATTCTTTCATAACTTGTAACTATTCAAAAGTACTTATTTATTAGACAAATAACATGTATATTGCATTTTTAATGTTAGTAAGATTTTTAACTGAACTATTAAACTATAAAAAAAACATTCGGACTATTATAGCAAGTAAAAAAGCAATTAGTAACTACTAAGAAATGTTACTAGTAAAAATTGGGAAATAAGTTTTGTATAATACTAAAGCTGGAATAGATTGTAAAATAAGTTAAGCAATTTTCAACTTTATGCTATACAAGATTTGACACTTTTTTGACAATAGTTTAAGTTGTGATGACTTTAACATCCAAGTTGATTGCACTTAAAAATGTAGTCCCCCTGTAGTCAATAATTGTATCCCTTAAAACTCATATTTGATCATCAAAATGACATTTAAACTTTTTTCCTTTGGAAAACAAAAATCTTCATTCCTCAAAATAGCTTGAATGTAACTCTACACCCTTCATTTAGTATAGCCTACCCTGTCCTATGAATATGCAAATTAGCCCCGCCTCCACTCACTCGCACCAGCTGAGAGATCCACTCGTTGACGATCACAAGTTGAAGTGATACAGGTAGTTTGTGACGTCAGAAACACCAGCGATTTCAAACCTGCGTTTTTTGAGACTGTCTTTGGTTCACTGCAGTTTTAAGGGGAAAATACTCAGCAATGGTGTCGATTTATTAATTTGCACATGGTTTGTCTTAAAGCACATTAAAAACGCCACAGACATATAAATAACATTAAAAGCTTGATTTTCACCACAGGGGGACTTTAAGGCAGCAATCTTTTCTTTTCCTTTTTTTTTTTTTTACAGTGTAACTATTGGAATAGTTAATAATAAGAGATTTTTACCCAAAAGAATATTATAGTAAAACTGTAATAGTTATCAGAATCAGTGGAATTGTCATCTGTCTTATTGGAATAGTGATTGCAACTAATCAATACTTGTAGTGTAATTGAAAGGAAGAAAAATACTAATAATTAATAGATCCCTTACTGGTAATTAAAAATAAGCACTATAAATGCTGGTCAGAATACATGTTGAAATGGCTTGGCGCAACAGAAAACTAATTAAATATCTTTTGCATTAGTTAGTTGAATTAGTATTATTTTATTTGGCTTTGAGGTATTAAATATGATGTTCATTATTTTTTAAATGTGTTTTGCATGCAATGACTAAAGACTATAATTAGTTGGAAACAGAATTGAGCCTATTTTTTAGTCTGCAGTCACACATGCAGCAGAGGGCAGAGTTGCTCCTGAAATCTGTCCCACTGGCGGTTCTCTATAATGTCTTGTGAACATGTAATGCAGGAACAGTGTTATAATTACAGCCATGTTGATTATACAAGATCCGTTTCACACATTTTAATCAAATAATCAAGCTAAATAACCCAATCAACCCAATGTGGTTCAATTTGAAGCACATATTGAAGCACTATGCTGTGGCTCACAGTTGGGTTTAACTTGAAAATGGAAATCCATTATTAATGAAACCACATAAACCCTCAGGAATGAGTGTTGTCCATGTAAACATATGGATATAGAACAGCAGGATTACCATGGAAATATATGGGAGCAATATTTCCGTTAGACGCCACTGTGGGTGTCTGCAACGTGACAGTTATAGATAATCTTTTTAATATAATTCTGTTTACACACTGTGAGGTGAAAATCCATGCAATTGACTGTACTTGCACTATATATAGTGGTCCTTCAACTATAGTATTCATTTTGCTTTGAAATCACCACATCTTAGTCATGTATTTTGTGCTCTTTCAGGGTTAAATGTGTCTTGAACATGCACTTAACAGCATCAAAGCTCTTAGATATCAGGCGAATTAAGTCCTAAAAGCCCCTTTTGTGAAGCATTCAGCGGTGGGAGAAAGAATCGATCATGGAGGGTGCTTAGATCCTCTCAAACCTGCCCTTTTAATCAGCAGCCAGGTAAACAGGGTCTGTGCAATGTACACACATCCCACAATGCATCTCACGGAGTGAGTCCGTCAAACAAGGGCCTTTTGTTTTGAGCAGTGCTATTTTACATGTCCTCTCTGTCCTGTATCACCATATGTGTATATGAATCATCAGACCTATCCGAGAGAGAGAGAGAGAGAGAGCTCTCAGGACATAGAGCTATTCCTGTCTGGGTGTTACTGTGCACATTGAAATGTGCTCTCTTCAAATGCTTTCACTGAGCGCTTGCTTCCCTCAGTGGTGGAGGGGGATGGAGGCAAAAAAAGAGAGAGAGAGAGAGAGAGAGAGAGTAGTAGTGTGGGTGGCTATGGGTAGAACAAGCTACAGATGGAAGAGTATACAGAAATTTGTCATACGCATGGAGAGATTCAGCAATGAAAAAAGCAAACTGTCAGGGTATTTTAATAGAAGCTCAACCTTATGTTGATGTTAATCAGGAAGAAATGAAAATATGCTTAAATATCATACCTATTTGGAGTAGAAACCATTTTCACTCAGAAATTGCTATTTCACTAACTTTACAATAAGGTTTCATTTGTTAGCATTAGTTAACTACATTAGCTATATTCTTACAGCATTTATTAACCTTTATTAATGTTAGTTCACGCTGATGTTAACTAATACAACTTTTGATCTTAAAATGTATTAGTAAATGTTAAGATTCCTGTTAACTAAGATTAAAAAATGCTGTAAAAGTGTTTTTTATTGTTAGTTCATTTTAAGTAATGTGGTCAAATAATGTTAACTTTATTGTAAAGTGTTACCAAAATGGCAAGCATGACAAATAGAAAGAGCATTTTCTTGTAAATTGTTCTTGAATAATCTTTGTTTTATTTACAACTTTGAACATGTTTTTTTTTTTTTTTTACATTGTATAATGCATGACTCATCTGGCAATAGCATTCATAGTTGTAATGTATTATAATAATGAATAAAAGCTACAGATGGAAGAGTACAGAAATTTGCCATATGGAGAGATTTAGAAAAGATGGAAACAAGGCAAAAGAGGAATCTGAAACGATTGCAGGATAATAAAAAACAACAACGCAAAATGTCTATGTATTTTAATACATCCTTAACCTTATGATGATGTTTATCAGTTATAAGTGAAAAATATAAAAATTGGTGTAGAAACAATTTTCACAAAGACACAGCAAGTAACATTGAATTAAATATGAAATTTTGAAGTAGAAAAAACGAAATAGTATTATCTAACGTACTCCAATAATCTTTGTCGTATTTGAAAAATCACTTTTTACATTGTGATGATGCACGATTCCTCTTGGCAATGACATTTATATTCGTCTCTTCGTATTATGAATAAAAGCTATATGGAAGAGTACAGAAATGTGACAGAGGAGAGATAGAAACAAGGCAAAAGAGGAATCTGAAATGATTGCTAAGTATGTAATATAGGCTCAGCCTTATGATGATTTTGATCAGGTAGATGTTGAAATCGGTTCAAAATACCTATGATGCGTGACTCATCTGGCAATAACATTTAAATTTGTGCGTTGATGTAATGTAATATCTTCCTTTTATGAACAAAATTGCCATTTTCTTTAAAAGCTGTGCATATTTTAAAATGTGTCTTGCATTTTAACACGATTTACACAAATACCAGGCAGGATGATATGAACAGTTATATTTTTTTCATTTTAAAATAATATATCGTGTCTTTAGTTATATAACGGTGAACATGATTTCACTAAGTACAACATGTTCCTGGATCAACATCTTTGCTTTTCCTGGAACATCATTCCAATCAACCAATCAGATTTGAGGGACAAGTTTACAGCTTATGACAAGTTTAGGCTTACAATTAGAGTAAGGTGCTTCTACACCAGTGTTATTCACCTGGCTGTCATTGTCCTCTGATTTTAGGGACTTTGTTTTTTGACAGGAATGTTGTTCCAGGATCAATCCAGTAATATATCTAACTTGGCAAAATCATGGTGACTGTTAAATAACAGGATGCATTTTGCTTAACAAAATAATATCTGAGAGCAGTTCTGCTAAAACATGATCTAAAACCAAAAATGTATGATATGCTTCAGATTTATTAATTGAAAGTTAAAATGCAATATTTATCTGTTGGTACAGACTTCTCTTTCTAATCTCTGGGGACAAGAATGTTTAATGTCAGGGCTTTTAAAAGCATCACTCTGACGAACTCTGCCATCTAGTGATTATTACATGAGAGGAATAGCAGTTACTGATTGGACCTTCCCAACCTGTCATTAGCTTCCCACTGTGCCGATGAATCTATTTAGTAAACAAATAGTCAGACTTTCAAGAGTCAGAGAGGGCGTTTTTAGTTACAGTGCCGGTGGTGGTAAAATTCCTCTCGAATTATTCCAATTGTTATGTGTCATTCTCACCAGTGACATCATTAGAAGCTGTCTGGACACGTTTCATCACATGTCATTATGCTCCGTCAGTCCTCCTCCAGCGGTGTAATTATTTGTGTAGCTCATTAAGGCATAGAAGCAAGTGTCTTGAAGGAAAACCTCGTATGGCGTGAAGCAGTTGTGCTACGCTAACAGTCAGGATGTGCTTTTGCAGCGTTTAGACAAGTGCATGTTGTGTCTGATGTTTGCTCTCGGCATGCCGTTGGTGTTTGCATGTGTATTGGATTGTCCTTGGCGCAGACACCCTTAAGCCTGTT